ATAACATTTGGTTCATAAATAATCCATGCCTTCAAGGTTTTTATATTTTTCAATTAATTCAAATTGTTAGTTTAGACAATGAAAAATAATTGAAATTAAATAAAATGATCACAGATTTATTGAAAAGAGAAAATTATCTAGAATTTGAAATTCTTTCCTCACACCAAAAAATTCTTCATTCTTCTTTTAAAGAAAAAAAATGTGAAGGGTGATCTTCTCTTGTTGTAGAATTTGAGATTATGTGATTTGAAAATAAATATTTTTTGTAATTTTTTAAAATCAAAATTGACAACTTGACTTAATTTATAAATATTTAAACTTTGAGAAAATAAATTGTTGGAATTAAAATTAAGTGGAATTGGTTGAATGGGAGCTAAACTTGGATAGAATATATTATAATTTTTTATTTTTTTTTTTTGACTGAGGAGGCCCTAACATTTATTTGGCTGTTTCCCGCTGTCAGACAATGTCTATAGGCTTAAGAAGTTGACAAAGACAAAGAGATCATCTCAACCAATCAAATGCTTCCTCCTCCTGCNTTAAAATCAAAATTGACAACTTGACTTAATTTATAAATATTTAAACTTTGAGAAAATAAATTGTTGGAATTAAAATTAGGTAGAATTGGTTGAATGGGAGCTAAACTTGGATAGAATATATTATAATTTTTTATTTATTTTTTTTACTGAGGAGGCCCTAACATTTATTTGGCTGTTTCCCGCTGTCAGACAATGTCTATAGGCTTAAGAAGTTGATAAAGACAAAGAGATCATCTCAACCAATCAAATGCTTCCTCCTCCTGCTTGCTTTCCTAAAAGGTAGTGTGGGTGGAGATATGTATCACACTTCAGGCGGTTTATACGTCCATTTCGAAACACCACTTTAGAGATTTCTTCAGACTCTAATCTATCTACTCAGTTTGATCTTGTGACTATTTCTTTGATTTCTATTTTTGCAATAATTCAAATCTACACAATGATGATGGCTTCAGGTAATATGATGAGTCAAGCATGGCGAGATCCTCAACTGTCACCTGCTTGGATGGTCAGTCATTCATCGGCNTTCTTTGATTTCTATTTTTGCAATAATTCAAATCTACACAATGATGATGGCTTCAGGTAATATGATGAGTCAAGCATGGCGAGATCTTCAACTGTCACCTGCTTGGATGGTCACTCATTCATCGGTAAACCCTAGAACTCCTTTTTGGGTTATCACAGAAGACGAACTTTTTCATCTTTATGAAAATCCCGGAATGATTGATACTTACCAAGACGCTTTTATGNAGAAGACGAACTTTTTCATCTTTATGAAAATCCCGGAATGATTGATACTTACCAAGATGCTTTTATATTGGACGACNACTTTTTCATCTTTATGAAAATCCCGGAATGATTGATACTTACCAAGACGCTTTTATGTTGGACGATATGATTATGACCCAAAATTTTGAGAGGAATGAAAATATTGATGTTGTAAGCATTGATGACCTGGTTGATTCTCTTAACGAGTGCCGGATTGAAGAAAAGGAAACAGATTACTGAATCGTCAAGATGCGTTCATGATAGACAAATTTAGCATGTCTCCATTCAAAGGCATCCCGTGATGCCTATTTGAAGGGAGATCATCTTTCTGCGCGGGTATTTTCCCAGATGGCACAAGAAGAAAAACAGGCGGCAAAGGTTCTTAATGATAAAGCTGCAAAAGAAATTTTAAGGATCGAAAATTGTAACAATGATATCTGGAAGTTAGATTTACATGGCCTTCATGCGATGGAGGCCGTTCAAGCCCTAGAGGAGCACTTGCAGATAATATAATCTGAAGCGTCAATATCACTTAGACAAAGACGNGTTCAAGCCCTAGAGGAGCACTTGCAGATAATAGAATCTGAAGCGTCAATATCACTTAGACAAAGACGGAGATCCTTGCTAGTTATAACGGGAAGAGGGGTTCATAGCCGAGGACAAGCTGTTCTTCCAACAGCTATTAGGAGCTTCCTCAGTGAAAGAGGATATCATTATGATGACTCAAGGCCTGGGGTTTTCACAGTACGACCCAGATTTCATTGCTAGTGAATGTTGGACAGTCGCTGATGTACAAGAGGGGAACAATAATTCTGTTTTTTCTCTTGCAGTTGCATGTAAATAGTATACTAGTATATTGTTATAGTTGAATTAATTGTGAATCCTAATGGCAGATGGATCCAGTAGTAAATTAGATAAACAATTTATGTACAAATGGCATCACAGATGAAAATAATAATAATAGAAACATTTTCATACCTATAGCTAATTCTTACATGCAAGTACTTTTTTAATTTTTGAATCCAATGTCAAAATCTAGAGTTTTTTTTTCCTATCATCTGTCAAGCTTATTCTATCAACCTGTGTCTACTTCGAATATGGGTGAGGCCAGCATTTCAGGTTTTTGATCAACAAGAGCACTGTCTTCAGACGTCCTTCTTACCTGCCTTCTGTTAATGCAAGTACAAAACTAACCAATGTTTTCATATCTTCTCATTCTTTCTTCCACTATATGTTGAATGTAACTATCTATAACAAAAATACAGCCATCCTCACTTTCCAACGGGGGTTAGAATTCGATGATCCCTTCCACCTATTCGTTTGTATAAAAACTGCATTACATTCAAATCCCCCAAACCTAACCAAGTCATCTCACTGAATGATTGAGCGTCGGTTCTGGCATTCCACTTCACTCAGATTCTTGAAAATGAACCTTATAGCAACAATATGGTAATGGTTTGAGACACAAAAAGAAAATACAGATTCATATGATTTCACACACTGCATATGTACGTAGTGCTTTCACCAGTAAATTTTCCCTCTCTCACAGTAGACTTCCAAATTCCACCATTGTAATTTATCTGTATATTGTAACAGCTTGATCAACATTTACAATCACTAAATACCATGACAATCATTATACAATAAAAAACTCAAAATGGCACTAACATTTGCCTGATGTAAGAGGCAAAAAGGCAACGAGGGAGAGCAACGAAAGGATACTCACATACAGAATGATTCGGGAAAATTTTGCCTAATATCAGTCTTAAGACCCTTGTATAGATGGCGGTATTGGGTGTAATGGCGTAAATATTGAATGTCACTGACGTTAGCAATGCTGACGTGGTATCACCAATCAATAATAAAACATCAAGTAGATAAAGTAAACTTCATTTAGATAGTTATTTGCTTAAATAGAGTAAGAAAGGGCAATTATTTGCTTGCATAGAGGTTGGTTATTAATTTTAATAGAGTCCATTTATTTATTTATTTTAATATTATTGATTAATGATATCGCGTCAACATTACCCCATCTTATCACTATTGTAATGAATATTTACTCATAATGATGACACCACGTTATTATTGACAAATAATGTCACCATCCAATAATAAATCTATAAATGGACAAATTGAATCTCAATTGGAATGACATGGGTGATTACTTGAATATGTGGGATCCACCTGTTAACTTGTTATATTTTTGTTGAATGATAACATGACGTGTAAATGAGGACACAATCTCACCATTACACCTAATATTTTTTTTGGTGATTGGAGGGCGCCTAATGGGGCCATGGCCCCTCACTCACATTTTTAAAAAATTTTATAACACCTCATAAGTTTTTAAAAATTCTTATATTTTCCCTCAAGTTCTAAATATTTTTATACATGGACAATTCACTTGGCGCATTTAAAAGGTCTGATGAATTGATACTTAATAGCGAGATGAGGGATGTAATCCATAGATGAGTAATGATTTTATAACATATGATATTTGGTTGGATGAGTTTAATGATCTAATGATAATTTATATATTTAAATACAAAATAACATCTTAGCCTTTATAAGTTTTTAAAAGGGTAAAATAATGAATCAAAATTTTTTCATGTTAAGGTATTTATATTAGTAGTATAGATGTAGATGCCTAACGTAACCATGGAAATTTGCATTTTTTTGAAATGTAAAAATACCCACTTAATTTTTATACTCAAGTTTTTTTCATAAAAACATGCATTTGGATGGTACATGTAATTAATGGAAAGTGAATTAAATTTTTTTTATTTCCATTGCAAAATAACTATTTTTTAGAGCAAATGTAAATAAGAACTCATGCATGTTAAATTTTCAAAAACAAATGAGATGTGATTAAAATATGTAGAGAAAAATAGTAATATTTAAATGAGAAAATTTAGCAATGTAAAAAGGGTTTCATGCATGTTAAATTTTCAAAAACAAATGCGACATTATTAAAAAATCGAGCGAAAAATAGTAATATTTAAACGAGAAAATTTAATAAGACACTAAGAGTTATCATTACTTATTGGATGATGAGCTATTCCTGCACAATTCGTTGTTGATCTTCTTTGCGTTACAACAAAAATAATCAAGTAAAAAAAATCGAACTCAGATTAAAAGGGCTTCTAGTTTAATCTAAGAAAAAAGTTACGGTGCATAAAAATTAGGTGACAGACAGTTAATTGACAAATATATTCTCATTCCGATTATATTAAGAGAGAGAGAGAGAGCACATGGTTTGGACAACCAGCTCAGTGGCCTATGCCTAGGGTCGGCCCTGATTCAATGGAGGTTGTTCAAGCCCAGAAGAGCACTGATAGAATCGGAAGCGTCAGTTCTGACATTTTTCCCAAAATATCTGCATCTGTTATACCTGATCCACACTCGTTTCAAATGAATAGCAGGCATATAAGTTGTCACAAATAACCCAAAAAAATAAAAAGAAAAGGACAAGAGCCATGACTTATTGAATAGTTTTCTTTTGAGAGAATTGGGTAACAGATATAACTACCAGGTATTTCATTCGAAGATCTCGCATTTTGTTTTACAAGTATGCATTCCACTTCACTCATATTCTTAAAAATCTACCATATATCAACAATATGGTTTGAGATACAACAGATTCACATGAATCACTCACAGTAGACTTCCAAATTACACCATGTACAAGATCAATGATAAACAAGAAGCATTTGAAAACTGAAATTTGGCAATTTATCTATATATTGTAACAGCTTGATCAACATTTACAATCACTAAAAACCATGACAATCATGATATCATACAAACTCAAAATGGCACCAACATTTGCCAGATGTAAGAGGCAAAAAAGGAAACGGGGGAGAGAAACAAAAGGACAGTCATACAGATTTGGGAAAATTTTGCCTAATATCATTCTTAAGACCCTTTCCTACTACAGCTACCAGGACCTGTGGCATTTCTCAAACTCCCTGATTCGGGTATATACAAGTCCCTATGACCAAATGAAGGGCTACCTCGGAGTCCACGAGATGGAACATTGCGAGGGGATATTGAAATTGGCTCGCTCCCTCTGAAGGCCTCGGTCTCCAAGTTCTTGGCTTCATCAGTCAGCATCTTTAACTGTTTCATTACAAGGTGATCAAACATCAAGCATTTTAAGTAGATGCAGACGCAAAATAAAAGTCAAGCAACACTGGTTGTTTGGCGCCTTATGCATAATGGGTTGAACCCACTATATTTTGGGCCTTCAGGTTTTTTGTATAGCAAAAAAGGACTGTGAGGTTAATTTTGTCATAAGGAAAGTTTATAGCTGTGTAGCACATTTAACATGCAAAAAAATCACCAAGGTGGTCCAGAAATTTATGCATTTTTACCTGGCACTGTAAAATGTGTGTAAGATTGAAGAGAATGATGATTAAATGCCATCAGTATAACGTACATGAACCTTGGAATGTTTTTGTGGGCAAATCAATCACAACTCTTTAGGATATATTGTAACATCCTTTCTGTAAGAGATCATCATAGCTAAAAAGTTTACAAAAATTATTTATAAAAAAAAAAGTATTGGGATAGGGGATATTTCATTACATCATTTCAGTGAGGCTGATAAAATACATTAATATTCAAGTACCCGGATTTCATTTTCTCTCAACCGATCCTGGAGAGCGTTTATGGCAGGACTTAAGCTGCAATTGAAATAAAAGCAGTGAGCATAACCAAGAAGTCAAGCACAATATACTGAAAGAGAAGTGGACAAGAGCTTGAGCTTGAGCTTCTAACCAATACTCCATTAATTTGCACATGGAAGACTCATATGTTGATGTATGATGAATGAAAGAAAGAGGGTGCACTTTCCCATCCCTACATAAAATGCCACAAATTATGATGATAACTAGTAAACTACAATAAGCAATATAGACGATGGTGAGGTACATGATAACACATTTTTATATCACCTCATGTTCTGTAAGATTGCTTGATTATATGCAGTCCGCTCCTCCTCATACAATACACGTTGCAAATCTATAAAGGAAGTCAATGGCGAATCGAGATTGAGAAGAGATAAGGTTGGCAAAACATAAAGCGGAATTTCCTTCCTGACAAATTCTGCACCACTGCCAGCAACAAAAGCCATTATAAGATTCATGTTAAGGACTGCTTATTGCCAACTCAAATATGTAAGACACTGTCATTTGATTACGTAAATGCACAAGGATCACCCTGACCATAAATATTTCAACAAGAAAGGAAGAAGTTAATAACGAAAGAAGAATGATACGATAATGTGAAAATATATACCTAAAACTACCAAAGACAATAATTAATCCGCAGATCATTCAAACCATTCATATGCTCCATAAATAGGATCTTCTTCAATGAAAATTAAGATTCCTAAACTTCCATAGAGAGCATACTTCACTTAATGTAAGAAGGTTAATTGAACACAGTTTTTTCCTCTTTATCTTTTTTTTTTTTTTTTTTTTTTGGGGGGGGGGTGTTAGATACAAGAAGGATATTCACAAACAAAGCAAAAAAGTATTATGTTTCCTACTTCAAGAAAACCCTATTCAACATGCAATTAATTAAAGAGATGTGCATGAATATATCCCTCCCGGTTTTGAGCTCCTTCCAAATTGCTAAAGCAATTATTGGAAGCATTTAATAAAGAAGCTGAGCCTGTATAGACCCAAGCTTGGGTCCATTGCCTGTTGAACTTGTGGTCTTCAAAATAACTTTACTTTTAAGTGGGGAAAAAAACTCCCTAATTTATGGGGGGAAAATGCCTAGAGCAAAATGACCATTGCAAAATGACTTCTTGTCTATCACAATTACATCGTTCTTCATTTTAACTTGCTCTGTCACTTTTAAAATCTTTTTAAATGAAACTTAATTCAAGTTCTACTTTAAGAAGTAAAGGAGCTCTACTGCTTCTGGCATAAAAACTAGAAGCCAAATCTCCCACCCTAGAGAGAGGTTAGACAGTCAACGGACACCTATTATCTATGAACTTTCCAACATACGAATTCCATCCAGTAACCTTCCTCAACAAATTTCAACCTTTCTCACTCTTCTTTTCTCTCTGTACACAACACCGTTATGTGTCTGAATGTATGAGATAGCAAAAAGTGCATCTCATTTCCTATTCGTCCCTAGCTTTCCAAACTTTCAACCATTCTAGTTAAATAATTGAAGTCAGGCATTTAACTGACCCAACCTTAGCTTAGAGTAGAGGTGTCCAAGATCAAATGAACATGAGCCGAAGCCGATTACTTGAAATTGCAGTCGAGCCAAGCTTGGGTAGCCTGGTAATTGACTGGGCTCTAATTATTGCAGTCCTATCAACATTCACTCTCATAATTCCTTTGAAAACACATTGAAATTATCCTAATGATATATTTGAATATGAATCAGACAAGCAAGGAAACATACCGTGGATCTTCTCAAACCAAGTCAATAACTAGAACCATCCTATTCAAAGTAGTAAAAATAATTAATGTGCTCTTTACTCTTTAACTCCATTTCCAAAGCAACGAGTAAAAACCAGAAAACTACCGGACACTTCTACCGAGTTCTTGGAGGATGCAATTAAGGGATTGAAACAAGGTTTGTGTGAATATGTACCTCATTTCCAGATTTGAACGGTGCATTGCTTCTTGCATACTTTCTGACATATCCATGGGGTCTATATCAGTGATGGTGTTTTCTAAGCTGTTGATGTGGTGCCTTTCTCCAGTTATGTCTCTCCCTAGATAGTTGGCATCAGCGTTAGCGAAGAAACCCCCCAAGTCTGATGATCTTCGCCCACCCTTGACAATCAGATGTTATCAAAATGCATCAACATAAGAATCAAAAAGGGATGGTTAAACATGAAACAACAACATTCTGAGAAGCAAAAGGCCAGATAATTGAAAATATTGTCATTCTACACTGACAGGTCAAATAGTCACCCAGAGTTAGCCTTTTTCAACACCCAACACCTAAGAAAAGGCTCACCATCTGATGGTCCACTTAACAGATAAAAACTAGTTTATTGGATGGACTTTTTTCAATCTATGAATAATTTAATCAATTCAAAATCAGGAAAATAATACAATTTTCCAAATGAATCTAGTGAATTTGGACAGCATCATAACCCATAATTTCCGTTACATCTTGTTTCAAGGAAGAAAAGGAAATGAGTATAAAAGCGCTTGACTCAATGTACAGGTCCTAAGACCTTTCAATTGAAGCATTGTGAGGAAGTTCCAGGGATAAACTAATGCATTTCCACATTTTATGATGTTTTCATAGCCCCATTACCCAGATTAAGCAATAGACTCCTTTTCATAGCTGAGATAAAAAAATATACCTTAGAAGCCCCAGCAGCTGTTCTTGAATCACCTGTGTCCTGTTCAAGGCTTTCGGCCCTTGCAGATCCAGATCTTGTCAGTGAGTTCTCAGAGGAACTTATAGAAGATTCTATATCTATAACAGAACTTCTGCGCACAGGAGATAGAGAAACAGGTCTCAACATGTGATTCTGCTTCCCATCCAAGGACTGGAATGCAATAACTTGGATTCTTCCCACCTGAAACAGTTCCAATGATTTGTGAACTTAGCCACTATCTCAGATATTTTTGCCAACCTAAAATAGTTCCAATAGTTTGACTAGAAAACAAATTAAGCAAACCTTGTGCGCATCTTCACTAAAACAAGAAAATATCAACCCAATGAACCCAGGATCAAGAAGTTGATACATAGCCTGAGTCCGCACATCTACAAAAGTTAAAAGCCAGAAACATTTCTTAATTTCAAGTTACCACTGGAAACACTAACAAGGATCTGAAGGAAAACTGATTCGGTATATATTTTCCACTCTAATTGTTGACCAGGTGCAAATAATTGGTATACAACATTAATACCATGTGCAAGCTGAAGAACAAAAGAAGCTAATGAGCCCCAAGGAAGTTTTGCTAACTATCTTAAGCACATGTGTGTTCAATTACTCTTTTATCTTGAAGAGACTAGACATACGAAGCACACCTTATCTATCAAATACACAATGTTCAGGATGGCATGTGTGGATTTGCATAAATCACAACAAACTCATCCACAAATCACTACTCAATATGCTGGTGCTCAACACCAAAGGTAGTATCCTCATGACTAACTCGAGGAAAACATATGTGATGCATGAAAAATTAGAATACTTTCATCGGTAATATTATTAAACTGTCATTCTCTTTCCCCAAATAAAAATCTTAGGAAGGAGAAGGCACAGATATACAGCCGGTTACAAACTTAAAGAGAAACCACACTCTTCCATTAAATGGGGTGGTAATTATTCACTTAAACTGCTGAAATTTTTCCAATAGAGTAGCTTTTTGTTTAGCGTTATTTGAAGTTTATTAAGGACAAAGAAGGGAAGACTGAACAGTTTACTTGAGAGGTCTCTCCCTCAATATAGAGCAATGGATGATTTCAAAAAAAAAAAGAAGCAGTATTTGTAGTACAAATCATCCATAGTGCTATGACACTTACCGACATGGGAAGGGAGAACTGTGATATGAGGATGCGAATGGTACCATCCTATCACCCTTGTTGTTCTTCCTGTTGCCACGGTCATTCTGTGATACATAGTTAAGTGGACAAGGTCACAACTACTCTCAACTTTACCAATAGGTGGGACAATTAAATGAACATCAAATCACTAGATCAGTCCCGACAACGAACACAAGCACCTCACAAGTTTGTTGAATCTACTTTCTAGTAGATCACCCATTGCAAAGCGGCTATGGTATGTAAGATTGGATCGAGCACTTTAGAAGTCCACAAGGTTTTCTAATTCTACTCTCAAACAAACAAGGGGGTGGAGACCCATATTAATACTCACTCAAACCAAGTCTACCATGTGACAAGGACGTAACCTAACATTCCACGCATGATTATTCAATAACATCCATTTGATTTACAGAGCAGTCCGAAATTCAATTGGCCAAAAATAACCAGAGACTAGTGTTGAAAACACAAATCTTTTGTCTTTTTGCTGCCACCCCATTAATTGATTTGCCATGCTCATATGTTCTAGGCAAGAAACTTGTGTTGCATGAGAATGTACGCCCGTAATTTGCATTATGAACTATCTTTTGTTTCCACAATTTTGATAGATTTCAACAAAATCAAAATATGGTTGTCTGCACGAATTGTGAAAGCATTATAGGAAGGATATCTCAGCCTGAACTGATGCAGCAGTCAACTGTTCAGGGTTAGTCTCTACTCGATCTTTCCGCCGATCAGAACGTGGTTGCGGCAATGCTCCCCAAATCAGTGCAGTCACACTTCCATTTTTTGAGTGCTGAAACAGCAAAATAAGTACATTTTCAATCAATCAGGTCAATCATACCCTGTACAGAAAAAAATAAAACATTTTCAATCAATCAAAATAAGTACATTTAGTGGCACTTTAACTACCCAGCAGTCCATGAATCTCGAAACCAAGAGCCCTAAAGGAATAGGTGGGGTGAGATTTAAGTGTCATGTCCATGAAAATAGTCCCACCCACATCGCCTGATAGAAGGATATTTGGCTATATAGGCAGATGCTCTGTTTAAACTGTTGTGACATGTTTTAAAGTCGCGAGGTAACCCAAAGCGAAAAACATCACATACAGTTAGATTGGGTTGTGACAATTGGTATTAGAAAAATATTTACCTCATGATTGGTGGGGTGAGTCTCACATGAACATATGCATAGACTTGCCCCACACCGGAATGTGTAGGGATAGGTGGCAGGCAACAGACCACTAGACCAAGATTCCTAGGCCTGTGGCCAAGATGGAGTGTTTGGTTGGATAATATCATTAGGCTCACTAGTGTGGTTGGACAATATTGTTAGGCCTCATAAACGGACAATCTATCTAATGACACCTTTTAAAATTATGAGACACAACGCAAAGCGAACAATAGCATATGCAATTTGATCAAGTTGCAACAAATCTAATTTAGTAATGAACCAGGATCAGCAACTAAGACACTTGAGTGCAAGCCAATCAGTATTTTCCTTACTAGAACGCCATGTATAAGAATTGTCAAGGTACTTCATTAGAATATCATAAGCTCGATCATTTCTCACCTTCAGTTTTCAGCAGAAAAGTTATCAAGCACACAAATGACCAAAGCCACATTACTCATGACAAGTACATCGAAAAAAAAGGACAAAGTAGTACAATTCTTCATTTGGTTAAGAGAAGACGCCAGAAAAATTAAAAACTAGTTTGTGTATCTACTTTTTTTTCTGATAAGATCGAAAAAATTTCATTGAAATAAATAGAAGTACAATAAAGTGCAAAAAAAAATCCACCAACATTTGCAAAAAGTGTATAAACGGAACTACATACCCACCCCCAATTGTTACGAAGGAAAAAATAAGGGGGATGCTAATAACTTGACTCTATCACATAACAAATCCTCATACTCAACTTTGTCTTCAAACCTAGCCTGTCTAATCTGTTTCAACTTGATGGATATTAAAATACTTACTCTACCAATCAATATTAAATACTCGCACTAGCAAACCTAAGAAGTACACAATACAGAAACCCACATTCTCACTTATACAAAGTACGAACCAAGGAAGATCCAATTCAAAAGATCTAGTGGCAACCAAAGGGAATAGCCCAAAAACAATAAGTCCAAATATTTCAACTTAATTCCTCTATAGGTTCTCAAAGACTACCTGACATAAGAAAGTACATTGCCCAAAAGTTTGCGTTTTTCATGTAAATATGCACCATAAAGACTAAGTTCGTGTCTATTGCTAGAAGCAGGAAAGAAAATCCAACACAACAAATTGTGGCTCAAAACAATAAGAATTCAAATCAAAATTCAAATGGGACTAATATTTTGAAAACCCAATTCAGGAATCAGTCCGAAGTCCACATTGTTCAAGTAAAATGTGATCAATACCCACGAACTCATTTCAACACAAATTCATATCTAAATAAAAATAGAACAAGAGTACGAAGAGGGCATTGAGGAAAATAAACAAAAGCCACATTTTTGTCAACAATACCCAACCAATTTAATTTAAACTTAACAAAACAGAAAAAAATGTTAAAGCCATTTTTCTAATAGTTGAGCATGCTTCGTACACAACTGATGAAATTACTGTAAGTCCACAGAGAAATCTATACGCAAAAAGAATTTGAAATACCATAAGGGAAAAACCCAAACCCTCAAAATGTACACTGATTCTACTTTGGTTTGAAGTAATTTCCCACCTTTAAAATGTAATAGCAATAGTTCCACAAGACATAAGAAACAGAAACCCTTTATAAACAAAACCTTAATGACTGAATAAAAGGGATCGAACTTAGACCTGAATATCCCCAAGAAGAAGCCCCATAATCTCTTCAGTCTCGGTAGACAATGCATGAGTGAGACACGTTAACCACACATCCTCCGACATTTTCACACTCGTTAGAGACATCCTCGCTTCACAAACTTTATCAGATTTCTCTCTCTCAAACCTCTCCCAGTGGAACACGGAAAAAAAACTTTGAATTTCGATGATGGGAAGACGAACAGAATTGAAGAAAGAGAGAGAGAGAAATGGCTCAGCTTCCGGGACAATGTGCGAACTGCGCTACATGATTATACTATGTGGCCGACAGTAGGTTAGTTAAATAGTAGCAGTAATCTAGACCGTTCAATTGTTTGGCAGGTACAATCTATTTTTATTTTTGTTTTTCATAAATGGTGGAGTTTAACTTTTAACTTTTATGTCTTTTATCCTATACTATAACAATTATTTTATGGATATCCCTCCTCGTTTTTTTCAGTTCTTAGAATTAGTTGATGCTGCACATAGTCCTCCCTGACGTAGATATAAACAAAGGAGAAAGATATGGGAGCAAGAAAGACTTGGAATTATTAACTTAAAAAAATATTTTTTATGAAAAATATTAAATAAACTTAAAAACTTAACTTCATGAATTATTATTATAGAATAGATAGAGGGTTTCAATAAATACTGAGATTCATAATTAAATAAATGATAAATACAAATCAAATTTTTAAATATATGTAAAATTGTTTTGTTTTTATAATTACATGCTATATCACGTCTCTTATAACCTTACCTCCCCACTCTTCGCTAACTAACTACCATTCGCTTAATCCAAATATTTGTATCATCTTATAAATTTTTTCATTCTTCATTGAACTTTTCAAAGAACGATTGAAAAAAGAAAAATGAAAAGGAATGATAGGTTATGCATCCCTTACAGCCACGAGTGCTAACCACTTGTACAAAATTATTTGTGTTATTGATTCAAAAAATAATTGCACTCTAAAAAAAAATGTTAGAGAAAGTGATTAATCAATTGAATTAAACTGACGAGATGTGAAGTTGTACNGAAACAATTTCATTGAAATAAATAGAAGTACAATAAAGTGCAAAAAAAAATCCACCAACATTTGCAAAAAGTGTATAAACGGAACTACATACCCACCCCCAATTGTTACGAAGGAAAAAATAAGGGGGATGCTAATAACTTGACTCTATCACATAGCAAATCCTCATACTCAACTTTGTCTTCAAACCTAGCCTGTCTAATCTGTTTCAACTTGATGGATATTAAAATACTTACTCTACCAATCAATATTAAATACTCGCACTAGCAAACCTAAGAAGTACACAATACAGAAACCCACATTCTCACTTATACAAAGTACGAACCAAGGAAGATCCAATTCAAAAGATCTAGTGGCAACCAAAGGGAATAGCCCAAAAACAATAAGTCCAAATATTTCAACTTAATTCCTCTATAGGTTCTCAAAGACTACCTGACATAAGAAAGTACATTGCCCAAAAGTTTGCGTTTTTCATGTAAATATGCACCATAAAGACTAAGTTCGTGTCTATTGCTAGAAGCAGGAAAGAAAATCCAACACAACAAATTGTGGCTCAAAACAATAAGAATTCAAATCAAAATTCAAATGGAACTAATATTTTGAAAACCCAATTCAGGAATCAGTCCGAAGTCCACATTGTTCAAGTAAAATGTGACCAATACCCACGAACTCATTTCAACACAAATTCATATCTAAATAAAAATAGAACAAGAGTACGAAGAGGGCATTGAGGAAAATAAACAAAAGCCACATTTTTGTCAACAATACCCAACCAATTTAATTTAAACTTAACAAAACAGAAAAAAATGTTAAAGCCATTTTTCTAATAGTTGAGCATGCTTCGTACACAACTGATGAAATTACTGTAAGTCCACAGAGAAATCTATACGCAAAAAGAATTTGAAATACCATAAGGGAAAAACCCAAACCCTCAAAATGTACACTGATTCTACTTTGGTTTGAAGTAATTTCCCACCTTTAAAATGTAATAGCAATAGTTCCACAAGACATAAGAAACAGAAACCCTTTATAAACAAAACCTTAATGACTGAATAAAAGGGATCGAACTTAGACCTGAATATCCCCAAGAAGAAGCCCCATAATCTCTTCAGTCTCGGTAGACAATGCATGAGTGAGACACGTTAACCACACATCCTCCGACATTTTCACACTCGTTAGAGACATCCTCGCTTCACAAACTTTATCAGATTTCTCTCTCTCAAACCCTCTCCCAGTGGAACACGGAAAAAAAACTTTGAATTTCGATGATGGGAAGACGAACAGAATTGAAGAAAGAGAGAGAGAAATGGCTCAGCTTCCGGGACAATGTGCGAACTGCGCTACATGATTATACTATGTGGCCGACAGTAGGTTAGTTAAATAGTAGCAGTAATCTAGACCGTTCAATTGTTTGGCAGGTACAATCTATTTTTATTTTTGTTTTTCATAAATGGTGGAGTTTAACTTTTAACTTTTATGTCTTTTATCCTATACTATAACAATTATTTTATGGATATCCCTCCTCATTTTTTTCAATTCTTAGAATTAGTTGATGCTGCACATAGTCCTCCCTGACGTAGATATAAACAAAGGAGAAAGATATGGGAGCAAGAAAGACTTGGAATTATTAACTTAAAAAAATATTTTTTATGAAAAATATTAAATAAACTTAAAAACTTAACTTCATGAATTATTATTATAGAATAGATAGAGGGTTTCAATAAATATTGAAATCCATAATTAAATAAATGATAAATACAAATCAAATTTTTAAATATATGTAAAATTATTTTGTTTTTATAATTACATGTTAAATCACGTCTCTTATAACCTTACCTCTCCACTCTTCGCTGACTAACTACCATTCGCTTAATCCAAATATTTGTATCATCCTATAAATTTTTTCATTCTTCATTGAACTTTTCAAAGAACGATTGAAAAAAGAAAAATGAACAGGAATGATAGGTTATGCATCCCCTACAGCCACGAGTGCTAACCACTTGTACAAAATTATTTGTGTTATTGATTCAAAAAATAATTGCACTCTAAAAAAAAATATTAGAGAAATTGATTAATCAAATGAATTAAACTGACGAGATGTGAAGTTGTACGTCCTATGTTTAATTCTTATTAACTGTGTGAAGTCTATGTTTTAATCACAATTTCCTTGGCTAAAAGCCTACAATAATCTCAGCATTTGAAATGATAAACAAAAGCTCACGGTGTTTGCAATGATGGGAACAACACAAATAATGTTATGTTTCACTTGATCCCAAAAACATGCTATGTCAGAATGCCGAAAACAACATCAATAAAACACCCTTGAATGGCTCCGGATGTCCACACAGCGCTGACATACTGCTTCCGAAACATACAGCAAATATAGGTGGAGAATGCCCTTCATCGGCTAAGCCATGGATACTCGGTTGTTGCTCGTGGTGAACCTTAAATTGATATTCTCTCAAGTGAGAACTCTGGATCCACTGGCTCCTCTCTGCCGCTCCACTGCCCGAACAGTTCAACACAGCTTGTGTACCTGATATTCATCAAACTAGTTATGGTCTCCCATTATCGATTAATCACTCATGACATCAATTCCCTCGACATCACTGAATGTTTCAACTTCTTGGCTGTGTTGGTCGGTGTCAGTTTCCATGGCATCTTCGGATCCCTCAACATCACTTTCACCATTGTCCTCATAAATAGCAGGTGTTATCGTGTCATTTTCATCTGCTTCGTCATCAACAGTCTGCACAAGGACAAACTAGTGTGTTAAAATATGGCATACTCTTAACCTTTGTGTTGCCATTTAGCGGTGCACTTACCCCTGCATAAAGCAAGTCTAAGCAACTTGATAGTTGAAGTGCGGGGTGGAAAGTCAAAACTCTGGATTCAATGAGCTGCAAAAACAATGAGAAAACTGCACTGAAAATAAATACAATAACTCAATGTGTTTTGCCCATAGCATACATCCGTGAGAGATAAATAAACAAAGAGAATTGTGTCATTTGACTGCAAGTGAAATTGGCCAGCTATAATTAGTCAATATTTGCAAGGTTCTCGGGCAACTGATAGAACAATCTATTCCCTAAATTCCAATCACACAGCCACACTTAGAATTCATGTTGATTATTTACTTCTTCACACCACGAAGATGATTCATCACATAACCAGAAAAAAAAAAAGAATATGGTCTTTCTGAAATATTTAAGTAAAATAGATCTGCAAGGCTGATCACAAAATCGAAAACAATACTTTCAAAAAGCTTCAATTGAGTAACAGGTCTTTGGCATGAGTCCCAAACAACTTCATACATAAAATCAGCATGTCACCAGTAAAAGATGCTACCTGATAAAAGGAGTTGAGGGCCTGCAAAGAAGACTCCTGAGACATTATTCCACTTGCATGTTGAAGAAGTAAACTTCTTAGCCATGGAAGGGCACAAGCCAGTATTGCACCCCTGTAATGAGAATCAACCATAGGGAAAAAATCAATTCCAAAGAATCTGGAACTTAATTTTGAAGAAAATACCTTTGCTGAAGAAAAATCGTTAAGTATGCTGAGTATGTATAGCTATAACCAATTATCTATTGTTATACCTAGACTGGATTATAGATATGAGGAACTCCAAAAGCTTGAGAACATGAGATGAATTCAAAAGTGCCACTGAATTTCTAATTACCTGCACAGGAAAAATTTATATATGATATTTCCATAAGAGAATTGCACCTTAAACATTGTCAGCACAAAACCATAGGAAGGGAAGTGAAATAAGACCTTCTCATCTTGCCTATATAAGCAATCTAACAGAAGCGCTCGATCATCGGCATGTAGCGCTTGCTTAAGCAGAACATGAACTGAATCTGCACTTGGAGGCTTTGTTTGTGGAGAAGGTCCTAAATTCTCAATGCCCTTGACTTCATTGTTAGCTATTAGATTTAAACTCGCAAGTTTCTCACCCATCGTAGGCTCATTTATATCATAATCAATTTCAACTCCATTTGTAGGTTCTCCATGACCTGTACACGATACAACAGCTGGGTTATTCTTTATGATTGTCTAGTGTTATTCCATGTAATACATATTCCTGCAAGGTTAACTATGAGGAAAACTAGCATTGGCATAGCAGTCTAATAATTGATTGGTTGAAATGTCAAACCTCCAGATATACTCAACTAAATAATACCATCATAACTCATGGTTTGGCCATAAACTCATCCAAAGAAGCGCGCCGTATAAAAAATGCGAGATGTTTTCTATTAACCCATCCAACAGGAAAATTCTACAATTCTTGAAATGGTGTAGAGACCTCTCAGACTTGTAAAGTTAAGGGACAATGGTCCATTTGATGCACAGCTCAACCCAATCAGAAGCGAGTCAGCCTCTAAAATATCATCAAGCAATCCAATGAAGTTGAGGCACCACAGAGAGGATGGCAAGAAAGTTTTTCAATCTTGATTAAAAAAAAGGCTTTTTGATAGCTGCCTTTGAATTATAATGATCTTCAAAAAGTTAAGAAATGGAATCCTTACAATTATCCAAAGACAAAAAGGAAAGGCGAAAGCAAATAGTTGCATGTGGTAGCTTACTTGTGACCTGAGCGTGTCAGCTTAAATGGGTGCTTGATTATTCATATGGTCTTTCAGGTATTCATGTTTTGAGGTTTCATGAAGCTTTAAGCATTGTTACATCTTACTCTTGAAAAGGAGGGTGAAACGAAGAAAGGAACACTAAAAAGAATCAACGACAAAGATGAAAGATGGCAATTCAGATAGACTATAAGGAGGGCTGTCATACGTGCCATTACCATTATCAATTAAGTCTCCTGTTTTTGAAAAGTCTGGATCAGATGCGGCTCGTTTCTTGTTTGTTTTTTCTTTTTTGATGGACCCAGCTACTGCTTCTAACTCCATATCAGGTAGACCTGGAACAAATTAATCTGGAATTAAACAAGAAGCCAATTGGAAAAACAAATCACACAAAATAGAACAATTCTCCAATTATATCAGATGAGTATCACATAAAAGGAATCAACACTGATTTTCGTAACAGTAACCCATCTCTTGAGAAATTGACCACCTGACATCCTACCTGACGCTTAAATGCCTCAAAATGAAAAGGGATATTCGACAAACAAAATTTCCCACAAAGATAACTGAAAGTGTGTTTACATCACAAGAATGCCATTAGAAATCAAAATGCTTATTAATATTGAAACTAGTTGTGAGGCCCAAATTTCTGATTTAGATTGAATGCCAAAATAACGCGAAAACAAAAAAGAGATTAAGAGATATACAATCTTGGTGGCTGGTTAGTCACTTTGAAATGTAGAAGAAAAAACATTATTAAAATAATTATCTTGCTGTTGTCTGCCTTCCACATAGACAGTTTTCATAGACTGATAAACATAAAACCCAGAAAGCAAAAAAGAGTTTTAAGAGATATATAATCCTGGTGGCTGGTTAGTCACTTTGAAATGTAGAAGAAAAAACATTATGAAAATAATTATCCTGTTAAACATAAAACCCTGCAGAGCCATAACAAAAGCAGTAGCAACTGAGTTCAAGAAAAAGTAACCCTAGAGGATGCCAGCTAGCATGGTAAAGTCTCAGATAGGTATTTATAAATGCTGGGATGGAGTCCCACTTTCACAGGTTTTGGTAAGACATCATGTGTATAAAGCAGGTCTAACATCAACTGTCTAGCCAATAGGAGCCTTGAGTATGTGCGTTTTCCTCAAATGAATGAGAAGAAGGGGGGGGGGGGGGGAGATGAATTCAGGTGGGGAAAAAAAAAAGGATTGGTGATGTAGGAATAAAACAAATCTCATTGCTTTTCAATCTGACAGTAAGCAAGAAACCAAAAAGTTTGTCTCACCCCTTCCAGAAGGAACACCATTTTCTTGATCAGTATTAACTGCTTTCACCGTCTCATTTCCGGCAGCTATGATGATATCTTCCCCTGGGCTAGTAATGTCCACTACACTAAACTGAGGAGAATCTGTTGAACCATATACGATAAGGGCTCTTACTCGCCCATCCTTCTCTAATGAATGTAATCTGGCAGCAATGATGGTAGTGCGGCTCTTCCTAGTTCTTCCACTGGCATGCGGGTCTGTTTTGTCCTTGTTGGCTTTAACAGTAATCTTAGTTGGATTTGTATCTTGCTCAGAGACGGTTTTCAAGTTCCAGACATAAGCTACGCCTGACTCTGAAACTGAGAGGACAACTAAACCATTACAACCATTCTTGCATTCAAGTGCTACTGGAGCATGCCTCATCGAAAGAACAGGCCCATTGTTCACAGTTTTGTTGCCCAAATCACACATCCACACTTGAAGGTGTTTCTCGCCAAATCCTGATGTAACAATGAAAATGGCATCATCGGATAGAGATATATACTGCACGGGACCCTGTAGAAAAAATTATTTAGAACAATAAATTATGGAAGTGTATAAAGAGAATCATCCATATCATGAGAGCAATTTGGACTACATACCAGATTAGAATAAAATTTTAGCAGTTCTTTCCCATTTTGCAAACTTTTTAATTGTATCTTAGCACCAGCCGCAGCTACAATCTTCTCATCTACATAGAAGGAATAGGGTTGTGTTAAACACAAGTATTATGTTGATGATGCATGCAAACCTGTATGAATTACTCACCAAACGAACAAGCAGATGAAGAGATGGACTTCTTCGTAATCTTCATCTCCCTTACAAGTTCTCCTGTTTCTGAGTTCATTTCAGATACCATACCATTAGTACCAACTACATGAAGATGGCCTTGATTTGCAAAAGAAAGACTGGCGATTCCCCTGGATTGAAAAAGTCAGAGTACTATCATCAATTTTTGCTCTGCGCAGAATATTCGATATTCTGAGTATTCTTCTAGGAAAATATAAAATGACCAAAAAGAAGAAAAGAAAATCTTAAGCATAATTCCACTTCTACAAACAAAGAAGCCAGGAATACATAACAAACCATAAGAATAATTCAGTTTCTAGAAGCCAAGAAAACCTATGCTGTATATAGCACGGAGTAATATTTCTAAAAGAGAGAGAGAATTAGTGAAGAGAGTGTGGTTTGCCAATCTGCGACTACGCTAGATGAAGAAGTGGCACCACCTTCACAATGATGTCTTGGGCCTTCCTGTGTGAAGGCAATATATCTATCAATGAAATGTGTATCCTTGCATACATCAAACTTATTTGCTTCTGGTGACTGGTAATAAGACACCATTGGCAAAACTTTCACCTTGACAAGACCGCCTTGGCAACAACATCAAATATTCTCTTTCAATTTAATTAGTCCTTCCATTCAATATATCGCTCCTAAGCATTCAGATAACCATATCAATAAGGGTATAAAGATTCAACATGTACCAGCAAAATTGTTGCAGACTCACTGTCCACCCTGCATTCTTAATCTATCTATTACATAACTAGAAATAAGAACATGTAGTCATGTTTCAAAGACTAGGGAAAAAGGGTAACATACCCAGGTTGGCAACCAATAGATTTCCACTTCACCTCACTGGTGAAAGCGTTGATAGCTAAAACATCCCCAATTGTTGTGCCAAGAGCAATTAAGCAAATACCTTGTTCTTTTCTGCGCTAAAACATCCAAAAAGAAATCAAACAAGCAAAGATATCCATTTAGTAAAAGATCTCTAAACATCTGTTTCAACAATCTAGAAGGCTTTCCCAATATGACATACCTTCTTCCCAACGAATCCACAAGCCATACAAGAAAAACTAAAATCTGTAACCGAGTCTGCATGCTTCCACTCTGCTAATAGACTTCCATCACTAGTGTTCCAGAGCTGCAAATAATGTGAGAAGATTTCGGCAAATATGAGAACTACATGCACAATAGAAACAAAACAACAATAATATTACGTTTTCCGTACATTACAAATGAAATTCCACTTTTTAAACATGCTTTAAAAATGTGCAATAATCTCAAATTCCTGACACTCAAATTTAATAATGTTATGGCCGAAAGAACCTACTCTAGGCATTGAAATTAAAAACTGGCAAATGTGTTTCTCAAAATACCGTTATCCTATAATCTGGAACTTAGAAGCTGGCAAATCCAGTATCAAAACAGAATGCCAATTCACAGTAAAGTGCAATCTAGATTCGAATCGAAAAAAAAAATTAAAGAACTAATGAAAATGTGTCTAGTACAAGATTTCAATTCTACAAAAAATAATTCTTTTTTACACATTAAAAAAATTGATCAGTTAAAAAACTTTCCGAAAAACTGAGGCTCTCCAAATTCAATCATGATTGAAAAAGGAAAACAAAAACCAATTCACAAATTAAAATGCACAAATTATGAATAAAACAGAACATTGGTATAGTAATGTGGAGACATCACAATTGCCGAAACAACCACAAAATTAACACTGAGCACTTAGACCTCTTCAGTTCAGAGCAATAGCAAAATGAATTAATTTTATGCAATATTCAGAGCGAAACGGACACATTCAATTTCGACCCAGTTCCTAAACGCTCACTGCGAAGAAAAACCCCGTTCTAAGATGTCTTCCTTAAATTTTTTTAATCATAGTCCTGTGCAGAACACTAGTTATTTATACTTGTACGTTTCTCAAAACGAATGGAATTGAAAACATCATCAAAAGTATAAGGGGATATATATATACATATAGTGTGTTTATGTATCAGAGAGAGAAAGACTACCTTAACGATGCCGTCGGGGGACAAAATGGCGCAGTAGTCACCTTTGGGAGTGAAAGATGTGATGAGAGACTTCAGATTCTCTTTCGCCATGACAGATGTAAAAGAGAATAGCAGACAATACCGGAGCAGCTGAGAGAGAGGGAGGAAGAAGAAGAGCCGCGGAACGGTCGAGGGTTTTGGGTTTAATGAGTGAAAGAAAATGTCTTAAAGAACAAAATATACATGACTATTTTAGCCCTTGTGTATAACTTGTTTGTTAAACACAACAGTAACGCTTCGTTCGGTCTTGTGTTAACACTTTGTTACATGGTACAACTCAAAACTGGTCAATCCAAACTTTCAATTCTAAAATATTCAGTCCATCTAGAGTAAATTATGAATGCGATTTTCAAATTATGATTTTTATGTCAATTAAATTTTAAAATTTTTTTGTGTTAATTAATTCCTTAAACTTTTTAATTATGTCAATTGAACTCCTCTGGNAAAATGCCCAAAAAGAAGAAAAGAAAATCTTAAGCATAATTCCACTTCTACAAACAAAGAAGCCAGGAATACATAACAAACCATAAGAATAATTCAGTTTCTAGAAGCCAAGAAAACCTATGCTGTATATAGCACGGAGTAATATTTCTAAAAGAGAGAGAGAATTAGTGAAGAGAGTGTGGTTTGCCAATCTGCGACTACGCTAGATGAAGAAGTGGCACCACCTTCACAATGATGTCTTGGGCCTTCCTGTGTGAAGGCAATATATCTATCAATGAAATGTGTATCCTTGCATACATCAAACTTATTTGCTTCTGGTGACTGGTAATAAGACACCATTGGCAAAACTTTCACCTTGACAAGACCGCCTTGGCAACAACATCAAATATTCTCTTTCAATTTAATTAGTCCTTCCATTCAATATATCGCTCCTAAGCATTCAGATAACCATATCAATAAGGGTATAAAGATTCAACATGTACCAGCAAAATTGTTGCAGACTCACTGTCCACCCTGCATTCTTAATCTATCTATTACATAACTAGAAATAAGAACATGTAGTCATGTTTCAAAGACTAGGGAAAAAGGGTAACATACCCAGGTTGGCAACCAATAGATTTCCACTTCACCTCACTGGTGAAAGCGTTGATAGCTAAAACATCCCCAATTGTTGTGCCAAGAGCAATTAAGCAAATACCTTGTTCTTTTCTGCGCTAAAACATCCAAAAAGAAATCAAACAAGCAAAGATATCCATTTAGTAAAAGATCTCTAAACATCTGTTTCAACAATCTAGAAGGCTTTCCCAATATGACATACCTTCTTCCCAACGAATCCACAAGCCATACAAGAAAAACTAAAATCTGTAACCGAGTCTGCATGCTTCCACTCTGCTAATAGACTTCCATCACTAGTGTTCCAGAGCTGCAAATAATGTGAGAAGATTTCGGCAAATATGAGAACTACATGCACAATAGAAACAAAACAACAATAATATTACGTTTTCCGTACATTACAAATGAAATTCCACTTTTTAAACATGCTTTAAAAATGTGCAATAATCTCAAATTCCTGACACTCAAATTTAATAATGTTATGGCCGAAAGAACCTACTCTAGGCATTGAAATTAAAAACTGGCAAATGTGTTTCTCAAAATACCGTTATCCTATAATCTGGAACTTAGAAGCTGGCAAATCCAGTATCAAAACAGAATGCCAATTCACAGTAAAGTGCAATCTAGATTCGAATCGAAAAAAAAAATTAAAGAACTAATGAAAATGTGTCTAGTACAAGATTTCAATTCTACAAAAAATAATTCTTTTTTACACATTAAAAAAATTGATCAGTTAAAAAACTTTCCGAAAAACTGAGGCTCTCCAAATTCAATCATGATTGAAAAAGGAAAACAAAAACCAATTCACAAATTAAAATGCACAAATTATGAATAAAACAGAACATTGGTATAGTAATGTGGAGACATCACAATTGCCGAAACAACCACAAAATTAACACTGAGCACTTAGACCTATTCAGTTCAGAGCAATAGCAAAATGAATTAATTTTATGCAATATTCAGAGCGAAACGGACACATTCAATTTCGACCCAGTTCCTAAACGCTCACTGCGAAGAAAAACCCCGTTCTAAGATGTCTTCCTTAAATTTTTTTAATCATAGTCCTGTGCAGAACACTAGTTATTTATACTTGTACGTTTCTCAAAACGAATGGAATTGAAAACATCATCAAAAGTATAAGGGGATATATATATACATATAGTGTGTTTATGTATCAGAGAGAGAAAGACTACCTTAACGATGCCGTCGGGGGACAAAATGGCGCAGTAGTCACCTTTGGGAGTGAAAGATGTGATGAGAGACTTCAGATTCTCTTTCGCCATGACAGATGTAAAAGAGAATAGCAGACAATACCGGAGCAGCTGAGAGAGAGGGAGGAAGAAGAAGAGCCGCGGAACGGTCGAGGGTTTTGGGTTTAATGAGTGAAAGAAAATGTCTTAAAGAACAAAATATACATGACTATTTTAGCCCTTGTGTATAACTTGTTTGTTAAACACAACAGTAACGCTTCGTTCGGTCTTGTGTTAACACTTTGTTACATGGTACAACTCAAAACTGGTCAATCCAAACTTTCAATTCTAAAATATTCAGTCCATCTAGAGTAAATTATGAATGCGATTTTCAAATTATGATTTTTATGTCAATTAAATTTTAAAATTTTTTTGTGTTAATTAATTCCTTAAACTTTTTAATTATGTCAATTGAACTCCTCTGTCTACTCCGTTAGATTTTCAAATAGAAAATGACAAAATATGTCACTCACATAACACAAATAGACATATTATGAAATTTTATATTTGAATTTTTCCCATATGTAAATTAGTGTTAATGATTTTATGTGTAATAGGAGTGCAATGTTACACTTTTGATTAGGGATGTTAATTTGTGTCGTATTATGTGATCCACGTGTCGTGTTCGTATCAAGTCTTATGAAAAAAAAAATTATTTAGTGTTATGAGTATCAAATATTAGGTTAAATCATTTATTATACTTGTTGATCTCAAAAATAACATTAATAGATTGTTTGATGACTCTGTAATTCCTGAAAGGAAATCAAAGATCGGAGGGGCTCGGGGGATCGAGCCTCCAATGATTTAGTCGGTAGAAGTAGAAGAGGTTAAATGAAATTGAGTTAAAAGGAATTACTCACTTAGTTCTTAGATTGCGCCTCTCTTTTATAGACTTTCAGCTTGTTTAACCATTGGAGTTCCCTCAGCTACTTTTCAAATAAGGCACCTTATAAAGAGGAGCCTCCCTTCCATAGCTAGAGCTAGTTCGAGTTATTATCCTAAGGTTAGGCGAGCCAATTGACGATGCAGCTAGGATCGGCCAGGTATATCTTACAAGACCGTATATCTCATGGACCTTGTTCCTCCTCTCATGCTTTAGGCTTGCATGTGCTTTTGGCGTGCACATTCTAGCCAGATTAACATTCATCAATACTTATTTAATAATTTTGTCAATTTTAAAATTATTTTATGTTACATTCATATCAACGAATTAGAGTTGCACCCTTATTTTTGATACATTATTCGAAATAAATAACTAGTTGAGAGGTCAAATAATTGGTGGGGCCGATTTGGGTCAGGTACCATAATAACCACATCTTAGGTCTACACTGTCTCCACTAATCTTTAGGTAAAAGTTTCACTTTGTACTCGTAGTTATAAAATTTCTCATAGTGTATTCTATAGTATCCATTTTGTTTCATTAATAGATAATAATTATAATTTTTTTTATTGTAAATGCATATATAAGTGGTTTGTACTGTAATAAACAACTCTCTATTACACATGTGTAAGTCAAAATTTAAGAAGAATACCCAACTTTACTATTTCAAATCTCCAACTACCCAAAGACCTGGAAAGCTGTTTTCCCCTTAGCCATCACCCCAACCCAGTATTGTGAAATGACTGCTATACTCACTATAGAAGAAATCAAAGCAATGTTGTTTGCCATTCCATCCATGAAGGCTCCAGGATTGGATGAAATATTAGCCCTCTTCTACACGATGTATTGGCATGTTGTAGGGGAGGATTTAGCTCTTCCGGTGTCCATCATTTTAGACCTATTAGTCTTTGTAACATCACATACAAGGTTATCTCTAAAATCCTCGTAAATTGTTTGAGACCCCACGTTGATCAAATTATCTCCCCTACGTAGACATCATTAATGTCTAATTGAAGTATTGATGTGAATGTTATCCTAGATTAGGAGGTTATCAATGGGGTAAAAAAAAAGGGCAAACATGCTATAATGGTCCCCAAAATAGATATGACAAAGAAGTTCGAAAAAGTTGAATGGCCTCTCATTCTAAGAACTTTATAGTGTTTCGGGTTTCTTCAATAATTCATCAATTTAATTCAGCAGTGTATATCTACAACCACGTTTTTAATATTGATAAATGGTTGACCATTGGGGAATTTTCATGCTCAGATGGGTTTTCGTCCCTTATTTGACAAATTTTCAAGTTTATTGTTATCTATTGGAATGATATGAAACAAAATTGATATTTTAGAGTTTAATGTGAAAAATTTTATAATTAAGGGTATAAAATAAAATAAAGGCAATAATTCAAAGGGGCAAAGTGTAATTTACTTCTAATCTTTCGGTCTTTCATGGAACATTCGTGAAAGTTTTTGGTAGTTTACAGACGTACGACGTCCTATAAATACCCTCGGTCACTAGCTTCGATCATTGTACTCCCCAGTCTTTGCAGTCCTCAGGCTCTGGAACCTACTTCATCTGGCGGCCGATCAGGTCCACCTAGCAATCTTTATGTTCTGGTTCGATATACGAATATGTGTGTGTGTATATGTTTGTGTATGTATATATGATTTGTATCTATGGATATTGGTGCTATGCGTCGAGTTTTAATGTCGATGCGATTAAGATTTGGGTCATGCTATATGTTTCCAAAGCATGGGTGGTTGAGTTATAAGATTGTTTTGAACACTTAATCCACAACCCTTGGTTTAGTAAACCAATTTGATATTGTTTTATCCGCTTTGTATGGCCAAATATTGTGCAGTTGTTCGGTGATTAATCTCTTTAAGGGTTTTATTTCGTATTCTGTTTTTGTTTCAACGATGTCCGGGCCAGATTACGCAAACTTTAATTAATTTTCTTTTTGATTGAACAAAGGTTAGTCATCCGCGTCGGGACGACTAGGTATTGATGAGAGAAATTCTTCCGGTGTAAGGAGTTGCTAAGATTCAAACTCAACTTAATAACATTTTTAAAGTAATTTGTTTGAAAAAAATAACATATTTGATAATTATTTAGCAAAACTGATTTGTATAGCTTAGCATATTTATAATATAGGTGGAAGAAACGAATCCAGACAATGAAAAAACAAAAAAAAAAATGCTACTTAAAAAGTAGAAAAGATAAAAAAATATATATATATTATAAAACAGTACTAAATTTGTGTTGAATGGTCGTTTATAGAAAGATTACATTGATTTGAATCATCATCAATATTGGATAAAAAACGCAACCTGAAAATCTATAGTCAATACAAGTAGTTTTTAATTGAGTTGTACATTGGCTATGGGAAAGGAGGACTTTGGCTGGTTGAACATAGATTATAAGACATGTTTAACCATGTTTCAAGTAGTAAAATGAAATATCAACTTTGGTACAAAATTCCTAGGAAACATGCGAAGGTCCCTTCAAGCTGGGCATTCCGTGTGACTCTTGAATCATGTCCATAGATAAATATGTCGTGAAATTGATGATTGCCTTACTGATGACAACCAGTTACTAAAGGAAGGGAGCCAACTTGTTATTTGGGAATCCTAACTTGAGGGCTACTAAATTGCTTAAGGTCTCAGGAAATCCACAAGATAGAGATGGGGGCTGAGATTTAGTTGTTGGGCATGCATGATTGCATGGTTGCATCAGCGAACACCTCATTTGTTTCTTTGTATTGATTTGATGACTTCATTGTATGATACTCACCTCAGTCTGTAATACTCTTTGTGCACGTAGAAACATTTAATGCTTTACCTTTCCCACACCCACATTAATGGTGACTAAACTGGGTGTTATATTGATATAGTTCCTTGTGAGTATTTGTGTCATTTGATTTGGACTTCAGCCTATAGTTATTCTTTGCCTTTTGTCATAGTGTATGTTCTTTTCCCTGATAAATTGTCGTAGTAGCATCTTTATATCATTTAGCAATGTTTCTCAGAGTCATCATCTGATTCTACAGCTTTAGAAACACTTTGTGTGTCGAAGAAAATAGAACTTAAGCGTATCAGAATGCCAAAAGATAGAAGAATCAGATCTTTTGATGCATCTAGGGGATCTCCTTATCCTTGCAGCTCCAGGAATGGCGATCTGTGCAAATCCAAAACTCCTTCGTTACCAGTTGGGAATGAGAAAGAATGGGAAGAAGCTAGATGTCCCATCTGTATTGAGCATCCTCACAATGCTGTTCTCTTACTGTGTTCCTCTAGTGACAAAGGTTGCCGCCCTTACATGTGTGACACAAGCCACCGCCACTCAAACTGTCTTGATCAGTTTTGCCTGTCATCTGGAGCAACAAAATCAACAGAAGAAGCTCCTTCACGCCCAACTTCTCAGAGAGAAAGTGAGGAGTGGATGTCATCATGTCAAAGTAGGTATCATTGGAAACGGCTACCCAAGCTTGTGTGCCCCCTCTGCCGGGGACAGATCAGTGCATGTGTTGTTGTTGAGGCTGCTCGCCAGTTCATGAATTCGAAACCAAGGATTTGTTCACTTGCGACGTGTGATTTCAGTGGGAGGAGTTATTCAGAACTAAGGAAGCATGCTAGGCTCGAACATCCTTCTGTCTGCCCATCGGAGGCAGACCCAAGGCGTCAGCGTGATTGGACGACATTGGAGCATCAAAGGCTTTCCGAGGACTTCCTTAGTGCATATCAGCAGGAAATTGGGGTTGAATGGAGTGAAGGGAGCTTGTTTTCCGATAGTGACTGGATGGTGATGGGGCACCGAAGTGGCCTATGGGACATCCTAGGAAGCATATATGAGTATGTTGATCAGCTTGTGGGCATAATAGAATTTGAGCTCTCTTTTCCATATGATTCTTGGTTTGAGACAAGTGAGTTGGGTAGTTCAAGAAGTGATGGTCGATCTGGTAACAGCAGATCAACAACGTCAAGGACAACCAGTCATACAGAGACTGTCCCTGCTGCTAGATGGGGAAGCAATTTTTCATTGGGGAGTTCACCAGGTTTGCAGCACCCCCGCCGATTGGGCTGGAGACAGTCGAGACGCAATAACTAATCCTGACTCTAGTGGATTGCTTATTAGGTTGCACTCCTAGGGTGAACAGGTTACAATGCTGAGATTCCAGTCAGTGGGAGCGCTTTCTTCTTTGGGTTATATTCCAGTGTCGATGTCAATCTATATGCACTGCATTTGCTGCCAGTCTCTCTCTGGATTTCAAGTCCAACCAGCTTGAATTTGGAGATTGGAAGGCTTTTTGATCTGTACTCGTTTTCTTAGACAATGGACGACAACCATTTGCTCCATAAGGCTATGAAATTGTATATTTTTTTTTTATGTTTTATTTTATTAAGAATTACCCATAAGTTTGCCCTTTAGGTGTTGGACTATGGAAGCTGATCAAAGTTTGATAAACTGTTTTTCAAATGATGTGACTCCTCGTTCCAATAGTGATACCATGTAATTACTAACAAATAATCGATGTCTAATAATAAATTTTCTTGGCAGTCACTCGAAAAAATAACTACCAATAAAACTATATTTTATTTGATGATTTGAAAAAATATGACTTTGTCGACATTTTTGTAGCTGAAAAGATGATCGATGACAATCAATATGCAAAAGTTGAATTGACGGAGCTATCTATAGTATTATAACAAACAAATTGGGTGGACGAGGTCTTCCTTCCCTATTTTTAAATTAATAAATTTTTAAATTAAACATTTAAGGGTATAGTGTAAGAAATATAATCTTTAAGAGCATAAAATAAGAATTCTTAAATTTTTAGGAGACAAAGTGCAATTTGCCCAGAGAGAAATAAAAAAGAGAGGGACAGAAAGGGCAAAAGAGAAGTTCAAGCGTTAAACTTCCACCTCCCAGCTTCGATTCTCTTCTCTCGAGAGAAAGAAAACGAGGGTAGCAGTGCCATCTGCAACTTTGCCTCTCTCTCTCTGGTAAATCTTCCTCTTCTCTCTCGTGTTTTATGTTCTGTCGATTTCTCTGCAACCAAACGGAAACTTTCTGATTGAATCAAATTGATCGAAAAATGAAGGAAACACAACAAATTGAAAGCGTAGGTAATGCGTATTTTTGTTAGTTAACTGTTAGGTTTAATTCACTGGAAAAGGAATTTGCTTCAAAATTCAACATTAGGTTTCACTTATGTGAGGATTCAACTTCTTATAATTGCATGTAACACTGGCTTTCATCTTTTCTATGTACATAATTGCAACTTCTGAAGCCATCTTTGCTTTACGTTAAGACTATTGGAAGTAGATTGCTACTGTGAATGCTCCGAAGGAATTAATTTTACTCTTTATTCGTATGTTGGGCAGCTAAGCAAGTTTGTGGCAGATTTGCAAACTCTAACAGCATGGCGAGGTCATTATCTAACCTAGTCTTCAGGGGAATTGCAGCTCTTCCAGCTGCTCGTTCGACTGCAATTGTAAGACCTGACCTCTTATTTGAATGTAAACTAGTTGTTTAGTTATGCGGCTTTGAGTACATATGTATGGATCTGAGTTTAGCGCAAACAAAACTTGAAATATGAAATTTGAGCCCTTCAGGTTTTCTAATTTAGTTACCTTGAGATACGATGAAAATGTAAATTTTTTTGTTTACGAAGACAAACTTACAAGGCATCCGTAAAGCTGCTATAACGTTGATTGCATAAATTTGTGATGTGCAGCCTTTAGGGTCAACAGTTTGTAAATGAGGAGTGTATTTCTTTGGAGAGTAGACAATTATCATCAGGCCTACCTGCTGGCCTTGAGATAAGGAGAGCTTGTGCAGCAGGTTGATATTTGTTTGGCCATGAAAGACCAAAATCTGAATCGTACAAGTTACTTTGTATTATTGAGATCTTTAATTTTTATTCATGAAACAATGGTTGACCAACCTCGAACGTTTTACCTTTTGTTTCCTAACTTATAACATCTTCTCTGTCTCAGTTTAGCCTTTCCGTATTTGATTCATTAGATAGGGAGATTCTTCTGTTGCATACTCTTTAATTAACTAGCACACTAAGCTTGCAAAGTCATGGTAGCCATTGGTCTTCTCATCCCTTCCAACTGTAGTTTTAATACAAAAAGGGTAAATTTGGCCATTAATAATGAAATGAGCCCAATTTCAAATTTGTTCAAACCCAAGATACAACGCCGGTTTGAAGTTGCATTACACTCCTACAATAGATTAAAAAAAACTGGTTTTGGTAAGAGTTGCTTGCTTTGCAGAAAGAACAGTATTTGGTAGGGCGATTTAATGTACGAGATTCCCAGCACTGCGGGGTGTCAGGTGTATGCAATCTTACCTCCACATGCGGAGAGGTTGTTTCTGTGTGCAACAACTGTATTTGCTATAAAATATTATTACCCAGTCTAATCACGTTTACATAGGGTGTTGGGAGGGATAGGCTAGATGCAAACTTGGTCTTTGGCTTAATTGCTTCTCTCCAAAGTTTAATAAATGTTTCGAATTTTTTTCTTGAAGGATGACACTGAGGATAGATCACTAGGGATATGGAATGAATTTGGGGAATCTAATAGCTTTTGATGTTGTTCATAACCATGCTTAAAGCCATATTTGTTGGCCCCATTATCATAGAATTGTGAACTACGCTTGATTGCTAAGTAAAATAAAAAAATGCATATTAACGCATCAGTTAATCTTTTGTTCAATGCATATTAAGTGACCACAGTACTCCTTCATTTAACAGTAGATTTGAATTCTTAATAAGCTTCTGGATCCTTGTATCAGTATGGAATGCGGTTTTCAACTACTGTGCCTGATGATCTTGACACACATGAGGATTTCAAACCCACTAATAAGCTCGACAGTTCTGATCTTTCATTGAAGGAAATCGTTGAACAGGTAGATGGCTGTCATCAGAAACTGTTACATCATATTTTGAAGTATATTCTAAAATTTGTCCTGTTGGCTAACAAAAGTTCCTTTACTTTATTAATCATCTCCCGACATTCATTTCTACATATATTAATGGTGATAAATGCTGATGTAGGATGTAAAGGAAAACCCGGTGATGATTTACATGAAAGGGGTGCCTGAGCTTCCTCGGTGTGGATTCAGTTCACTAGCTGTGAGAGTGTTGAAAGAATACAGTAAGCGGTCACGTGTTTGGTTGGGTGATTTGAATTTTAATATGTTCTTAATCAAGTTCGTTTAACAATGAAAATAAGTAAAAGTCTAAGAGATGAGATCGAGGAGTGAGATATCTTTGTTTTGTGATTGATGGAGACATGGAGTAATATTTACGGTAGCCAAAGCAATTAAAACAAATCATCAATATATCATGCTGCAAATGCTCGAAAATGAAACGGTTGGGGTGTCTAATTGTTGATAGTTGGATGCCACTCTGGAGAGGATCTGTAGTTAAAGATGGCCATTCAGTTCAAATCTCATGTTGTAGAAATGCGGAAACATGATAGAAGAGGAAGTAATATTTATTATATCTTGCAGTAAAACATCAATTAAAATTTTCAGTGATGCAAAGAATGAATCCAGCCCCAAATCATGGACGCATACTCCTCTTTGTTATGATAAGTTTACGGTATTATGTGTGTATAAGGGTGTATGCTAGGATCTTGTAGTCAATTAGTTTACCTTCCAGAGCATGGCCAAAACTGATATTACTTCTTGCTATTTTGCCCTTCTGCATCTGGCAAATGATTATTTTTGGGAATAAGTAAATGCTCAGATGATGCGGTAAGAGGAGTTCGATAGCTGAGAAGACTGAGATGCCAAGAAAGCTAGGATAGGATGACAGGCTAATGAAAAAAATGCTGAAAATTAAACATTTCACGTTAACTCCAAAAGGATAGAAGCTTGGTATAAAACTCCAATTCCATCATCCACTCTCCAACGACCAAAAAAAAATGTCCACTCTCCTATATATTTTACTCCATCACAATCCGGAAAGCATTCCTAGTTCCTCTCATTCCAGGATGATAAAAGACCATAAAATCCGGCTGCCATCTCGGGTAGAAGAATAAAAAACAAATGCCTTTGTTAGGTGTAAAGATTGCAAATTCACATCTTACAGTCTGTACTAGTTATATTTTTCTTATTGGTTGACTCAGAACACTGCTGCTTTTACTTTCACTTGTATAGTTGTCTTCCGATGCGTTATTAGTTTGTCTACTACTTTATGTCGTCTTTGCCATCATGTTGAAAACTTGCGAAACTGTCCAATGAATAAAATTACTGCCTTGCTACTAATATGGCCTTCACAGATGTTCCTTTGAGCGCCAGAAACATATTGGAAGATTCCGAGCTCAAGAATGCTGTAAAAGCCTTCAGGCAAGTTAACACTAGCTGATGTTATATACCACACATATTCTGTCGTTGTTTTTAATACAGCCATTACATTACATTACAAATGCCCACTTCGATTTTTATTCTTTTCTTTTTCAAATTACAAAAGTGTAGTGACAATCAACATTACATTTATATGCATAATGTTTGGAGTCTAAACAAAACAGAGTTTGGGATCTCTGTAGGCTTGTTTTTATACTCTTGGCGGGACCTTTCCCTTTGGAAGTGTTCTCTCTCTCTCTCTGCACCAGGACATATATATATTACCACTGTGTTTGATGTGTAGGATTCTTTTTGCTCCACTGGGACTGCAGTAAAGTTGCAGTGTGTATATTGAATCTCACCTCTATCCATTGCTGAACGATGCCATGGTTATTATGCTGTTGTAATACACATACGATCTGCATGAGTACACTATCATTAACACCTTTTGCCTTGCCTATTATTTTGAATGCTATGTAAAAGATCTGTCTTTTTAGATGGAACCTTACATGATCTGTCTATTTAGATAGAACCTTATGCTCCATCTACTGGAACTGCCGAATAGTTGAGGACCATAATTCAGTTTTTCACATTGGTGTCATATGACGTGAAATTTTTTTCCTTAGTGGAATTACATGGATATATTGATCACTAAGTAGTATGGTGTTACAAGTATTCATATTGCTTAAGACGCGGCCTTTGCTAATAAACACAAATCATTGCTACTTTGGAAAGAGATCAATTTAGTCACAGGTTAATCCGTTAGGTTTCTTTGCAGCCTTTGGCCCACATTTCCACAGATATTCATCAAGGGGGATTTTGTTGGAGGATCGGATATTGTTCTTAACATGCACCAGGTAAGTAATCCTATTCTTGTTAGCCCTTACTTGTGAAGCCCATAGTTATTAAATAGTGTATCGGAAGATGTATCGTTTTTTAAAAATAATGTATCGCAAGATACGGTGTAATTTTAAATAAATAATAAAAATATATATATACCTTTAAAAAAAAATTATACACTTATAAAAATATAGCATATCATTAATACTCCACCACCTATTCAAGTCATCAACATAGTTCACTAATATTATAATGCAAAGTTTACAACCATAGTTCACTAATTCAAACTTTAAACACCAAAGAGACTTTTAATCTAAATTTCTAACATTCATTTTGAACTCAATCCATAAAATTAATCAAGATTCAAAAATTTTTATACAAAAAAAAATAAAAATTAGTGTCTTATTTAGATAAAATGACGTCGTTTTATCAGTGGCGGGGATAAAATTAGTGTCTTATTTAGACAAAATGAAGTTGTTTCAGGAAAAAAAAAAAAAAACAGGTTTTGCGCGTATTAGTCGTATCATACCAATACGTATCGTATCGTAAAAATGTATCGTATATCGGACGATACAACGCAAAAACGATACATAATTATGATCCGTATCATTTTATCTCTGTATCGTAATGTATTGTACGATACGTATCGCATATCGTACGATACTAACAACTATGGTGAAGCCTACCTACCAAAAATGCTCACATGGTCTGGTTTTATCATGCAGACGGGCGAGCTGAAGGAGAAGCTCAAAGGTATTACAAATAACCAGGAGAGGTCGGAATAAGTCCTCATTACTTGATAGTGGAGTTCTCTTTTCTGCTCAATTATTATTACAGTTGGGTGTTTTAATTTAGCTTCTTCAGAGTTTAGGATGATAAGCAGCAGCCTGCATAAGATGTTTAACTTATTTCAATAATTATTGTAGCTTTTCGTGATTATTACATATGGATCCTATTTGTCAAAGTGGAAATTCCCAATGAGTCCTAATTTTCCCATAAAAAAACATTGGAGACAATTGAGTCCTATTTCTTAGATACAATTTCAATCAAGTTGTCAGTTTACTGCATCTCTAATTTTCCCTTTTATTTTTTTATTGCAAATTGTCTAGAATTCATTTTACTGTTGTCATAGAACTAACAGGAACTATTGACCGAATGATTTGAAATGTTATCTTATTGTTATGATGCTTGCCAAGAAAAGGTTGGTCTGGGAAAAAAATTGCCACAAAAGTTTAACCAAAAAAAGTAGTATTTACATAATTCGTCAATGTTTATCCTTGTACAAAATTCAGAAGTATTTGGTAGTATTGGACTGATCGCAAAAAACGAGTAAAGGTGTAGGTAATGCCCATAAAAAAAGCACAAAGTAGGGGATAAAAGTCTATTATTGGTAGTGTTTTTAACTAATTTAGGATCAACTATCAAAAATAGGATTTATAAAAGAATTGCATGACTTGTTAGTGGTAATGGTAAAAGTAAGAGTTAGCAGGAGTCTCTTTTCCAGCTTCTTTAAATGGTAAAAATATGGGTAATCACCGATCACAATAAATAATTTAGATAATAAATTAAAATTTTGTATATTTGATCCAAAATAAAAAATTACTAATAATGTCACATTTCATACAAAACTTGTCATGTCAACTTATTCTAAACAACGGTCCAATTTTGAAAACGTTAAGTGGGTCGTTCTCAACTTGAATCAGAAATCTCGCATGAAAAATAAATTATTGCACCTACAGTCAAACAAATCAATAGGTTATCTTCACTCGCGACCGGAGAAACAATTAGAAAAAAATAACTTAAATTTTTCTATTACATACCAACATGTAGCCTTTTCTTTTCGTGGACCCCTCAGCCATAGTGTTAACATTACCCACCATGAGCACTTAAAAGACTTTGTATATTTAAGGAACGAGAGAGTTTGTATATCTACCAAAAAGCGCTTGAAACAGAGCTTCTACAAGGGTTGAGAAGATGATATAAACCTAGAATTTGTGTTATAGTCACCAGTTGAAACTGCACGTGAAATAATTTTGTTCTTTATGAGCATTATAGTGGAGCATGCTATAACATGTCCAACCATGGTGACAGCCCACTATGGTAGCCTTTTCTTTTCGTGATCCATTGACAGTGTACCAACTAGTGTGACTCCATTACTAAAAAGGTGGGAGGAATAAAGACTTTTTATGAGTTCCTATATCCATCAAAAGATACCAGAAATTGAACTTCTACAAGGGTTGAGAAGACGGTGTAAACTCAGAATTTGTGTTATAACCACCCGTTGAAACTGCAAGCATTAAAATGAAGCCTGGTATAACATGTCCAACAATGGAGACTTAAGGCGAGAATTTCAAATTAGGTCCTATTAATATTTAGGATAATAATACAAAATATAATGTAGGATTATTAGACCGTTGTGCGATTTAATTCCAATTTATTAATGGTTTTGAAATCAAACGAGATCATATAATTAAATGGATGCAAATTGTGAAGTCATGATCGTATAGATGAATAAATTGATTATAATCTTGAAGAGAGAAATAAAGATAATGATAGAGAGTCAAAGAAAGATAATGAGAATAGGAAAGATAAAGACTTGGAAAGAGGTGGCCAGGGCACTGGAGAAAAATAATGGAAAGGATTTAAGAAAGAGATATTGTTATTTTTAAAGTTTTTTTCAGTAAGTACTTTTAAGGCTAGACGCAATTACTTTTTAGAATTTTTTTCAAGATTTTGTTACATTATACGCCTTTCTAGAATGTTGTAGATAAAATTATTGTAAAGTACATTTGCACCTCTAAACATAGTTCATTTAAAAGGATCTCAAAACATAGGACTAAAAATTTAATTGGGCCCCTAAAATTTTGGAGCCTTAGGCAATTCGCCCCAGGGTTTGCCTTATTGTACTTCCTCCCATTCAAAGGGATAATCGACTATGCCCTTTTACCGTCTAGGGGATTCTTTGTTCATAGAACTGATTATGTGAGATAAAATTAATCACTAAAAATTTGTGTTAATTCATATTTTATATTTTTATTTTTTTTCAAAATGTCAAAAACTCTGTTTGGATTGTTACAAGGTGCATAGTTCAGATGTTTAATGTTAGAAGGTAGTGCCACATAAATTTTTTCCATTTTATTAATTTAGGCATCTAATTCAACAATAATCTTGATTGAGAATAATAATTATATTTTTAAATTTATGGATTATCATGTTTGGATAGTTAATGAATCAATTATACACTGAGGAATAAGATCACTATTAAAATCAAATTCCCAATGATGGTGAGAATACTAAACCCATCATCAATGATGATAATCTCATACCAAACTTAGTTGGGCATTCTAAAACAAGAAAAAAAAAATCATCTAATTCATTTCTAAAATCAAGCTCTTTTCCTAAAATCATGTTCCTTTCTAAAATAAAGTTCGTTACTAAAAATAATAATGAAATAGATATTTGTTCTCATAATTATTGACCATACCAAACTTTACTTTACCTCTGTGCATTTTAGTCCACAAACCACATGGGAGTTATGTGTCTATTTTTAAATTTGAGGGAGATAATGTGAAAACGACTTAACCACAAGGAGGTAAAGTGAAATTTGCCCTACTAAATAACACAATACTACGATATTTAAAATCCATGTATCCCTTTATTAGGACTAGAAATGAGTTGTTCATTCCTGATTAGGATTATGGTGTATCTCATATTCATGCTATGCTATCTCCCTGTAATTGTTCAATCCCTGTAATTGTCCAATCGCACTTCTCAGAATTACTAAAGTAGCTCATAATTCTGTCAAGAACAGCTCAGCATGTATACTAATACACAAATTATTAAATAATTACTAAATATTATAATATATTTATTTTAAAATAATATCAAATTCGATGGAACATGAGGTTAATGTTTTGAGTTAGATAAAATTTCTATTAAGTTCGATCTGATCGTCTTCAACGATGTCTTTGACAAAATGTTTAAAAGTTATGTACCTCTTATAGTGGTATGCCTAAGATAATTATGAAAATTTGCATATTTTTGAAATGTAAAAATACTAACTTAATTTTTATTGTCAAGCTTTTTTCATAAAAACATGCATTCGGATGGTACATGTAATTAATGGAAAGAGAATTAAAATTNAATGTAAAAATACTAACTTAATTTTTATTGCCAAGCTTTTTGCATAAAAACATGCATTCGGATGGTACATGTAATTAATGGAAAGAGAATTAAAATTTTTTTTATTTCCATTGCAAAAAATCTAAATAAGAATTCACGCATTTAAATTTTCAAAAAACAAATGAGACGTGCTTATAAAATGTACATAAAATTAGTAATATTTAAACAAGAAAATTTAGTAATGCGAATAGGAATTCATGAATGTTTAATTTTCAAAAACAAATGAGACATGGTTAAAAAATATAGAGAAATATAGTTTTATTTAAACGAGAAACCAATTCGTTTTTTATCTTCTTTGCATTGTAAAAAAAAAATAATTAAGTAGAAAAATCAAACCCATATTAAAAGTGCTTCAAGTTTAATCTAAGAAAAGAGGGTACGGTACATAATAATTAGGTGATAGATACCTAATTGACAAATCTATTCTCATTGCTATTATATTAAGAGAGAGCACATGCTTTCAAATACTATTATTTTAAAATTGGGTAAGACAAAAATAATTACATTAAAATTGGAGACTATAAAAAGTTTAAATAATCCTACAAAATGCATTTTGGGGCCTAATTTTTGGTTTTCACTTGGTAGCCCCAGGCAGCCACTAAAATGGCCTATGCCTACGGCCGGCCCTAATGCCCAATCACCTCCAACTAGAATACAGAACAGGACTTTGCTGTTGTATAATAGGGCTCATCTCCATACCTATTATGTATTGGTGCTTGTAGAGCATAAATATCGAAGCAAATATTCATTGGAAGAACAGGTTTCGGCCAAGTCCTGATGTAATCTGGTAATTACCTTCTGCAAGGATTTCAGAGCAGGAAGCAAATTTCTGGAATTCTGCTGAATAGAGTGACCATGAGCTTTGCATAGCTCCTGCAAAACAAAAAGATCAATCACAAGCCAAATAAACAAACTGCCTGCATAGAAATCACAATGATGTGTGTCTGATTTGAACCAAAAAATGTTAAAAAGCTTGTAGTCCTTAGAGAACCTGACACCATCGAAGAATAAACTCCAAATGTGGGCAATTTTCCAGAAGATCTGCAAACCCCTCAATTAATCTCTGCAGATATTTGAAAGGGATCGATGAAGCAACAGCTGGAATGTCTGGTGGACTGACAGCAATAATGCACTTTTTAATCAGGGCATCCTCGTTTAAACGTAGGCTGAGGATTAAAGCTCTGTTTGGTTGATCTTCCCTCAATGCTGCATCAACTGCCTGTGAACATAGTAAGAGGCTAATATACAACACACTACCTAAACAAAGATGCTGCACTTTGCAATCAACGATAATGCATCCCTATCGATTGCACAAAAAAACAAAAACTTTCCCTAATGGATTCCAAATAATACTGAAACAAATTTATTCTGATTTTGGACCTCTGGAAAGCACTGACATTTAAGACAATAATTAAAATTCTGAGGAACTGAAACAGTTACCTCTGGTGTAACATCTATGTCAAGATCAGTGGGATCAAAGATAAAGGACTCATCTATCGAATATACTAGAACTCCTTCAGTTGTTGCTGCGGCCCAACTCCGCCCAGTTGGTGCGATTCTTAGACATTTTGTTCGAATAACAGGTCTACCGCGGTTTAGCATTGATCCTGGCAGATCATATGCCAATTTTGCTCGTGTTTGTTTACCAACACCTTCCTCTGTGTCACTATTATCGTCATCAATTAAATCCAATGGACCAGCTTCTGTCATATTCTTGGAGTTCAAAAAGTCAAGAACCCCATCTAGAGAGAGATTCTGGGTTATTTGAAATCTGCGAAGCAAGACCTGCATGGTGTGTCAAATTAAATGCATGAGTATATGCAAGATCATCCAAAATATGGAGTTTGAAGACAAAGCATAGGACATACTGAGAAGCAAGATAAACAGCATAAACAATCAATTTTGAGTCACTTGAATTATAAAACCAGCTATATTCCAGAATAGTGTAAGCAGCTAATATGTAACATTATACCCAATATAAAATTTGCAGAACAGCGCAAAAAAATTGCTGCATAATACAAATACCAAAAATTTAGGGGGGGGGGCCTATGTAATTTTGGAAGTCTAAGGCAGTGTTAATTGTGAATAAGCAAAGTTGGCGCCTCATCAAGCATAACATGGAGTGGGTACCAATATCACAGTCCATGTCGGCCACTTTGTGAGTGAGATATTGTGGATTCACACCTTCCTGTAAAAATAATAAAAATAGGCACGGAGTTCCTTTAGAATAGAAACACTGGACACCAACGTACATCAGGTTTTTGAACAAGTTTAGGAACATGGTCTTTGGGGGTCGAGAGTTCAAACATTCAGTCATCTGCATGGTTTCCACTACTTCTTAAACATATTTTCTCTATTCCTTCTATAGGAATTTGAGTTGAAGACTTTGGAGCTCCCTATATTTATGGTAGTAAAGAAGCAATTATGCCATTCCATAAAAAGAAAGGCACAACTATAAATAGTCTACACACAGATTAAACCAAGCAGCATCTGATATTATAATGCTCAATTAAAGGTGTAAATTTTCACGAAAGGAAGAAAAGTGCAACCTATACACAAATGCATGAAAACTGACCTGATCTGCAACATCATACATACAAATGTATTTACTACTTCCACCAGCTAATATGTAACTCCCGTCAGCAGAATAAAATAAGGTCGTGAAGCACTTTCCAGAACTTGAGTTAGCAGCTGATCTACGATCAGTCATGAGACGGCCACCAGCAATGTCTCGCCGTCCCTCAATTGAGTACATCAACAACCCTTCAATTGGATCCCAAAAATGGATTTGCCCATCTAACGTGCTGCAAGCCAATTGCTTTCCATCTGGACGATAAACCACTGCAAGAACATCATGTATGTGGGGAAATGTTTCAACTGCACCTTTTCCTTCAAAAACATCCCACAAGCGAACAGTTTTATCCCATGAAGATGAAGCTAAGATCGCCTGCAGGTAAGAAAAGAACACCCATTAAGTCCCATATAAAGCATGAAGCAAGAATAAGAACTGTGACTAACATTCCAAACATGTGACTTCACAATCCCTTGAAACTACTCTTACACATTACCAGGACAGTAATGGGTGATGGTAAACAATGTTGTATAATGGTATTACCTAAATACGTAAAGTTTGATACACAAGTCAACTCACATTTGTAGGAGAAAACATTAATCCGTGAACTGGACCCTCATGACCGCTAAGAACATCCAACAGCCGGCCTGTCTTCATCGACCAAACAAATACCTAGATACATAGATAACAATTGTACTGTCAGCTGAAATAAACTATGGTGCTAGAGACCATGTCAAATGGCATTAAGAGATAGTTGCAACCTCAAATGAATCAAGAGTTCCAGCACAAATCACTTCACCACTCTGATCTGATGCTAAAGAAACAAATTGCTTAGAAGAAGGGGTAGTGAATGTCCTAAAGTTTCTATAGCGGAACAGATCCCATGCACGAACTGTCCCATCCAGAGATGCACTCAAGAGACAATGGTTGCTAGCCATAAAATGGAGTGCAGTGATGGCATTTGTGTGCTCAGAGAATGTCACAAAACAGAAGCCTGATGAGACAGTCCACACCTGTAACAATCAAACAACTCCTCGTCTTTGAGTTAGCAGCACTAGCTAACAGACAAAAGCCACCGAGCAAACATATAGCACATAATTATAATTTAATTTTCCTAATAATGAATAAGGTGGCACTGGAATAGGGATTCAAGTTATGCAAAGCCATTGCACACTAGCTTTTCTATCAGAAAGCAGTAAGCATGACTGAAGAAACTATGCAAAACATATNCTAACAGACAAAAGCCACCGAGCAAACATATAGCACATAATTATAATTTAATTTTCCTAATAATGAATAAGGTGGCACTGGAATAGGGATTCAAGTTATGCAAAGCCATTGCACACTAGCTTTTCTATCAGAAAGCAGTAAGCATGACTGAAGAAACTATGCAAAACATATCACTTGGCCTTTCTCGAAAGACACGAAGGTATCACTTAGCAATACTCAAATTTCAGAGTCACACACAACACAGAATTCTAAACTTTTGGTATTTACCATAATATACAAGCTAGAACAAAGAGCTAAATTTATTATTGTAATGAATAAACTATCTACGNATCACTTGGCCTTTCTCGAAAGACACGAAGGTATCACTTAGCAATACTCAAATTTCACAGTCACACACAACACAGAATTCTAAACTTTTGGTATTTACCATAACATACAAGCTAGAACAAAGAGCTAAATTTATTATTGTAATGAATAAACTATCTACGACATGTAGTTCACATAGCTCAAAGATATGCATTAGCTGAAGTACGCAAAAAAATAGGAGATGAACTATACAAAAGACATTCCATGTCTCATTCACCTTGACTTTGTTATCATCTGCTCCAGTAGCCAAGAGCTGTGAATCTGGTGAATACGCCAGACAGTTCACATCAAAGTAATGCCCCTGCTGCTTAAGTATATAGCTCTCCGACTTCCACTCCCACACAAGCAACTGCCCCAACTTTGCGCACCCAAATGTCAACCAATTTCCAAGATCATTAAAAACTGCAGTGGTAATCTTCTCTCTTGATATTGACATCAAATGAATGCAAACAAAATCTGGCATTTGATATAGCCCAAAAACCCCATTCGAAAACCCCACAACCACCATATCAAGTCCCCTGTGATAATCACAGGCCGTCATCTTTGCTGGTGCCTGCATAAAATAGTCCTTCTTTATCAATTCCCATTTTCCTCCCTTCAACAAGTACCCACTCTCTTCTTCCTCAAAATTACCATCACCACTATCCAAATTCTTCCTCTTCTTCTCATTATGATTATCTTTTAAATTCGACTTTTGCTCCGGTGTACCTGGAGAGGGTGGTGCTGAATCTCCTTTTTCACCTCCTAATTCATCAATTTTATCATCAGTGTCACTATAAGAAAAACTCCAGCTAAATATTGCACCATCGCGGGATAATGTATAAACCCTAGAAACTTTATTCTCATTTTTCTTCTCAATTCCGAAAAATACACCCACTATTATATCCCTATGACCTAAAAATAAGAAAGGTTTAGTAAAATTTTTCAATTTTTTCAAAAAAAATACTCTTGTCGTCAAGTCTTTTGATCCAGCGAGCACATAATCCGAGTCGGGACTCCAATCCAAAGCGGTGACCTTATCATTAAAGTCAGCAAATGTGCGAACCAATTCGAAAGGGAAGAATTCTTTTTTAAATCCCGGTGAGCGCCATATTTGGAGTAGTTTTCCGGTGGCAACTGCGATGAAAGAGCCATTGGGGGAAAACTTGACGGCGTACACGGATTTTTTGAAAGAGATGCGGTGGAGGATGGCGCGGTGGTGGAGATTGATGAAGAGGCAGCGGTTGTTGTCGTCGACGGCGAAGAGAAAGAGGCCGTCGGGAGAGGCGGCGATGCGGTGGATGTTTGCGGAGGTCTGGCAGGGTAGGGTTTGGGTTTGGGATTTGAGAAGGTCGGTCACGGAGATTCGGTTACCCACCGCCGAGATTAGAAGGGTGTTGTTCACTACGACGGCGTTTCCGCCTCTGTATGGGGCTCCGAGGAGGTTTTGGAACCGGAAGTTCATGGCGGTGTGAGAAAGAGTATAAAACCCTAGCAGTACCGTTTGCTCTTAAACGCTTAAACCCTTCGCGAGGGACGTCAAAAGCATGCGCACTCAGATTACCATTTTGCCCTTTTAACTCCTTGTACGAAACATACTAATTTTATATGGTAAAAAAAAAAAATCAAGAAATGTGTAACTAGAAAAAAAAAAAAAAATTCTAACAAAATAAAAGTAAAAAATTCAACAAAATAGGAGAAAATCTTGAGAAGTTCATAGTNGGGACGTCAAAAGCATGCGCACTCAGATTACCATTTTGCCCTTTTAACTCCTTGTACAAAACATACTAATTTTATATGGTAAAAAAAAAAAATCAAGAAATGTGTAACTAGAAAAAAAAAAAATTCTAATAAAATAAAAGTAAAAAATTCAACAAAATAGGAGAAAATCTTGAGAAGTTCATAGCCCTTGTGTGTTGTAATAAGCATTATATCCTCCTACATTAAGAGATTAAAAGTGAAAAAAAATTGATGGGTACATTTATAATATTTGAAAAGATAACCATCTCATATATTAGTCTGGTAGCATTTATGTACATGATAATTTAGTCTTAAGGACATGTACTCTTTTGGATAATTGTTATACAACCTCATGTTTTTAATATTTTTGGCATGGTTTGAGCATTTAAAGTTTGTAGTGTAGTCACGATTATAAAAAAGAAGCGGTTGAAATGGTTTTTTATTATTCAAGGGAAAAAACACGAGTTATGCGCAATTTTGTAAAATTATATGGAGAAAGATGCAAGGGCCAAAAAAGAGTTGTGGAATGATGCTATTGTTAGAGTATTAATACTAAGGGTAGTTTAGATATTTTTTTTGTGTTGTGTTGTTCTACTATATAAAACTTACTTAGTGTATTTCTAGGTTAATAATANTCAAGGGAAAAAACACGAGTTATGCGCAATTTTGTAAAATTATATGGAGAAAGATGCCAGGGCCAAAAAAGAGTTGTGGAATGATGCTATTGTTAGAGTATTAATACTAAGAGTAGTTTAGATATTTTTTTTGTGTTGTGTTGTCCTACTATATAAAACTTACTTTGTGTATTTCTAGGTTAATAATATGTATTACAGATTTGCTTTTAGTCAAATATATTTTCTCTTTCTCTTCTCTATGATCAATTTTATTAGTGTCAAAGCATGTTAAGATCCAAATATGATTAACAATACAATGGCTTCATCATAAGCAAAGTGGAGGAGGAGAAGAGCGTTCGGAATTGCCACGGTGAAGANATTTTCTCTTTCTCTTCTCTATGATCAATTTTATTAGTGTCAAAGCATGTTAAGATCCAAATATGATTAACAATACAATGGCTTCATCATAAGCAAAGTGGAGGAGGAGAAGAGTGTTCGGAATTGCCACGGTGAAGACTTTCGATCAAATTTTTTGCCTTGGTGACTTCTTGCGAGCGGATTTTCTGCCGAAAATGAAACTATACTAACAGGGAACGGCTGTGCGCGTGTTCTTCTCCTCTGCTCGATGTCTTCTGCGATTGCTAGGTTGGTGAATCCTTCTGCCTTGGTGACTTCTTGCGAGTAGATTTTTTGTCGAACATGAAACCATACCAGNGACTTTCGATCAAATTTTTTGCCTTGGTGACTTCTTGCGAGCGGATTTTCTGCCGAACATGAAACTATACTAACAGGAAACGGTTGTGCGCGTGTTCTTCTCCTCCGCTCGATGTCTTCTGCGATTGCTAGGTTGGTGAATCCTTCTGCCTTGGTGACTTCTTGCGAGTAGATTTTTTGCCGAACATGAAACCATACCAANTCTGCTCGATGTCTTCTGCGATTGCTAGGTTGGTGAATCCTTCTGCCTTGGTGACTTCTTGCGAGTAGATTTTTTGTCGAACATGAAACCATACCAGCAGGACACGGCTGTGCGCATGCCCTTCTCTTCTTCTCTTCCTTCTGCCTCCTTGTTTTTATCGTTGGTAACCATTGCAGGTCTATTGCTTCTTGGTTGGGTTAGTATTTGATTTTGGACTATTAGTCTATTTGTTATTTGGATTGTTTAATTCTTTGAATACTTTTGGCTTGCTGGGTTTTGCTTTGTTGGCTTGTTGGGTTTTGCTGGGTTTTCTACCTAGATTGGGTTTTGATTGTTTTGCCTTGTTGACTTGCTGGTTTGACTTGTTGACTTTGGGTTGTTGCTGGAATTTACTTGAGTGTATTCTTGCAAATTATTAGTGTCCATTCTTTGTTGACCTATGGCAAGTGAAAATTCTGATTCACTTCAGGCAATTAGTGTGAGATTAATAGATGAAAATTATGTTTATTAGGCTTATGTTATGAAAAAAATNCTTGAGTGTATTCTTGCAAATTATTAGTGTCCATTCTTTGTTGACCTATGGCAAGTGGAAATTCTGATTCACTTCAGGCAATTAGTGTGAGATTAATAGATGAAAATTATGTTTATTGGGCTTATGTTATGAAAAAAAANTGCAAATTATTAGTGTCCATTCTTTGTTGACCTATGGCAAGTGAAAATTCTGATTCACTTCAGGCAATTAGTGTGAGATTAATAGATGAAAATTATGTTTATTAGGCTTATGTTATGAAAAAAATTTTATTGGGGAAAGACATGTAGAATTATATTAGTGGTGTTGCACAGGCTCCAATTGATACTAAGGTAGAAAATTATGCTGCCTTGAAGAATACTTGAGATATCAAAAATGCGAAAATTATCACTTAGATTAATAAATCAGTTGATCAGACCATTGGGGTTCACCTATCCAAGTTTAGCATAGCTAAGGAAATTTGGGATTATTTGGCCACACTTTTTGTTCAGTCTAATTTTGCAAAGAGGTATCAGTTAGAGCATGAGATTTGAGATGCGCGCTAAGGGGACAAAAATATACAAGAATTCTACTTAGTTATGACTGGCTTCTAGGATCAGCTAACACTTACTGAACCCACTGACTTGAGCACTAATCTGACATATTGCACCTTCAGAGAGGAACATAGGCTGGTGCAATTCTTGATGGCCCTTAGAGATGACTTTGNTTTTGCAAAGAGGTATCAGTTAGAGCATGAGATTTGAGATGCGCGCTAAGGGGACAAAAATATACAAGAATTCTACTTAGTTATGACTGGCTTCTAGGATCAGCTAACACTTACTGAACCCACTGACTTGAGCACTAATCTGACATATCGTACCTTCAAAGAGGAACATAGGCTGGTGCAATTCTTGATGGCCCTTAGAGATGACTTTAAGGGACTTCATGGTTCTATTCTTCATCATCACCCACTCCCCTCAGTGGATGCAGTTATTAATGAGCTCTTAGCTGAAGAAGTTCGCCTTAAAACCCTTTTTGGAAAGGGTCTTTTTTCATTGCCAAATCAGACTGTATTGACTGTTCCCTCCAAAGTGACCTCTAATTCCCAAAATAAATATTGGGGCCGAGTTACTTCTGATAAGTGTAGCCTCTGTTGTGAAAAGGGCCACTAGAAGGCTCAATGTCCAAAGGTGATGAACAAGAATGCACGAGGGTTTCAAAATCAGTCATTTAAGTCCAGAGATTGTCATACAACANAAGGTGATGAACAAGAATGCACGAGGGTTTCAAAATCAGTCATTTAAGTCCAGAGATCATCATACAACGGTCGTAGCACCACCATTGGATGAGTCAGCCTCATCAGCTCCCAACCTGATTATGCTTGCAGATCTGCTACAGAAGTTTCTCTCTCTTCATCAGTCTGGTGCTCTCACTATTTCTCCCACTATAGGTTCGTTTAATTCAGGTCCTTCAAGTATATCTCAAACTNCCATTGGATGAGTCAGCCTCATCAGCTCCCAACCTGATTATGCTTGCAGATCTGCTACAGAAGTTTCTCTCTCTTCTTCAGTCTGGTGCTCTCACTATTTCTCCCACTATAGGTTCGTTTAATTCAGGTCCTTCAAGTATATCTCAAACCGCCTGAGTTTTTGACTCAGGTGCCACACATCATATGACCAGTGATTTTTCTTTGTTTGTATTTATTGTTTCTCCTCCATCTTTATCTGTCTTTGTTGCCAATGGTTCTCAAAGGTCATTAGCTGGTGTTGGGACAATTATTTCTTCCAACCTTACCCTTTTAGATGTCTATTATATTCTTTAACTTACTTTGAATTTACTTTCAGTCAATCAACTATTTGATTCTGAATTTTTGATTCATTTCTCTTCCTCTGGTTGTGTTGTGTAGTATCCACAGTCCAAGAAGCTAATTGGAACAAGCTGTAGAAAGGGAGGGTTATATGTGTTGAAAGAGCTTCATGTCCCAGATGTTGTTGTTGCTGCTTCTACTATTGATTGATCTTCATTTTGTTTGAGTCCAGAGTCATCTAATTTTTATTTATGACATTCTTGTCTTGATCATGTTTTTTATTTTCATTTAAAATTTTTAGCTTCGACTGGTAGTTTGGGTAGTTTAGTAAGCCATGACATTTTTTATTGTAGTGGATGCAAGTTGGCTAAATTTAGTGCATTGTCATTCAATAAAGTATTACTTGTTCTCTTGCACCATTTGATCTTGTTCACTCTGATATATGGGGACCAGCTCCTATTCTTACACAAGAAGGGTCTAAATATTATGTTTCATTTATTGATGATTACACGAGGTATTGTTGGGTATTCTTGATGAAATGTCGGTCTGAATTCTTTTCCATTTTCACTACATTTCGTAACATGGTACGCACTCAATATTCTGCAGTCATTAAATATTTTTGGTGTGATCAAAGAGGTGAATATACTCTTACTTGTTTTCATGATTTGTTGAAATCTGATGGTATATATTATCAATCCTCTTGCACTTACACACCTGAGCAGAATGGTGTTGTCGAACGAAAACACTGTCATATTTTAGAGACAACACGTTCTCTTCTTTTATCAGCACATGTTCCCAGCTCATATTGGGGAGAAGCAGTTTTGACAGCAGTTCATTTGATCAACACCATTTCTACTATTCTCACATCTGGAATCTCTCCTTTTGAAAAGTTATGTGGTAAG